TGCAAGTCCGAATGAGTGTTGCGCTTCCTTGTTTTCAACCGTCAATATCGCTGGAGTTAAGGGCAACATGTAGTTACCGAGCTAAACTCAATACATAACATAAGGTAGGATGTGTTTCTCAGGTCCACATGTTGACATTGTGAACGTTTTGACTCCGAAATTCGGTTGTGTATTACGTTAGGTATCTTGGATTGGCCCCATGAGAAATGCTACTGGAAAATGTTCCAGTAGTAAAAGCTGCAACTCGACCGAAATGAACTGTTATCGGACTCACTGAGCAGACTGTACATCTGAGTTTCAGGTTTTGACATGATCCCAAAAAGTCATAACTTGGAACATTTTTGAATCGGTGTGCAAAGTGGGCAAGATTTCAGCCCAATATTGGTTTGTATGCTTTATTGTGACCGAGAACGTGGATCCATTCAGTACAGCTGATTTATCATGTCTAGCGACTGACGTGGTGGTTGAGTACACACGATAACCTATTCGGCAGTTAGCGAGGCAGGGGTCAAACCCTCTGGGTGCTGTCTACAATGGGAAGAGTGATTAGCTTGGACTGCAACAGGTCTTTCGATTCATGACCATACTTATTGCTTGGTCGGCTTAATGGCAAGTGATTCGTGATTAAAAAAACCACAGGCTAAACAAGGCACTTTCACAAGCTGTGACAGACAAAATCAGATCACGAGGCAATCTATCCGTCTCATGGTTGCTTTCTCTGTATCGACCTGTTTGTCTAAATCGGGTGTTCATTGACCAGTTATCCGAACCACGAGGCCAAGATACACGCAAAAAACACTGAGGAGTACACTTCATTGCCACAAAAGCCTTCAGGATTCTCTTGTGTAAGGTCAGGACCTGCTCTCGTACAGTCTATAGCCCCTGGTCCTCGGTTCGTGACACGTTAACAGATATGCTCAGCAGCGCGCAAAAGGGCAGAACTGAAAACACTGGAGCGGGACAACGTGTGTACTGGAGGAACTCAACGGTGTGCACAGGCGGAGCAAGTGGAGCCATCAAATTCGGTGATTGTTCAGATAAACAGATTTGTTGATCTTTGTAATCGTGTATCGTATCCGTAGTACTACAAGCCTTCTGCGCTATTAAAGAAAACCGATAGTCATGTACCTGAGGCTTTTATTGGAGAACCACGTGAAGCCCCCAAAATGTCAGACACAATAACGAGCCGGGCGACAACGGTGCTGCCTGTGAAGCCCACCACACCCGTTTAAATTGGAAGGCTGTCACAACAAACACGGGTTACACCGGTCTGGTGCCATACTGGAAGTTGAAATCAGGAAGGCGTCGACGCGGACACTGACCTCTAGACTTCTATACTCCTTCAGTCCAACATGCATTTTGACTCAGTCGTAGGGCGTATCCATTTCAATCCCCGTACCAACGGGAACTCTGAATGTGAACGTCATGCAGATATATTAGTATCGTTTAAACTGGTGCAGTATCTGAGCACTGACAATCCATGTGTCAGACTGAGCGAGTGAATTAGTCCGAGATACTACCCAAAATAACAATGTTACCTGATGATCTGGGTGACTCACATAATTTCGGAATGCAGAACTAGTCAACAGTCCCAAGTGAATCTGTATTTTTTGATGTATGCATCTGATAACCTACGGGAAACGGCCCAACCAGGCAGCTGGGGTAATGTGGCTTAATTTATTCCTACTAGCGACTTTAGGATTCTGATGATAACTACGAAATACAACCAAATGACAAATGGCTGATAACCATGCTTTGGAACTGATGATGCAGGTGTCATGGTTGTCTACCATTCTGTTTCTCAGCCCAGCTTATGTACTCACATCATTCGATGACTGAAGCGTTACTTCGGATTTATCTCTCTACGTCCGTTGCTGAATCACTTGAGTTCAGAACAACTCAAGCTTCTAGCAACCCGTGGAACGTCTGTTCCGCCTAAGCGTCGCGAAGCTGATCCACATTCCGTCTACAGATGAGCAATGAATTCACTGGTATGAAACATTCGCAAGCTTTCTTTCTATCAGTGATGTGTCTGATCTCGGCAAAAGAAGTTTCTTTGGTTGACTGTCCTTTGGACTCCACGTTTCACGCACAAACCTCGGGTCATCCGACCAACCTCCACTTGGAAGCATCAGACTCGAGTTTCGCTCTCGTTAGAGCTCATCAGTGGTGCATATCCTCCGCCACACCCAGGGTTTGAACCCGGGCCCTTCCATCTCCCCAGTGATCTATTAATACATAAATGACTGTCTCAGTCAAGAGAATGCCATACAAACTCTTGAATGAATTTGCGTTAAGTCGGAGAACGTTTTATCCGCAGTTTCTGGCTAAGACCGAGCAAGAAACTAATCAGTTACTTGACCAATTCTAACAGCAACCAATTCGTCTCACTGAAGACTGTTTCTGCCTGTCAACACTGCGACCAGGCAATCTGTGACGAATTCAAGATAAGGCCGCATTCCAAAATCGTTCGTCAACGGCTTCTTGAGAAGCGAACGCTCGATCTCCAACAGGTTACCGATAAAGCTCAGCAGCAGTCGCTTGATTGAATTACCTGAGGGTCGAACGGCGCTATACCAGGGAAGACAGAAATGATTGTCTCAGTACACTATCCCGGTGCTCATTAAGACTGAAAAGCAAAGAAAAATAATGCGACATCTGCGAATTGTTTAGTTTGCGAAAAATACTGGCACTCGCGTTCAGGATATCCGACTCAGGTCACTAGTAACTCTTGTCCGGATGGAGGCGTTTTCAAGTCTGCCGATGCAATCCTCATGGAAAACGTAGTACCTGCAATAAAAATGGACGCTTCGTCACATTACTACATCTTTTACCGGGTTATCTCAGTCTACGGCACGTGATACCATTCACGGAGTGCCACTGAAGGCACTCATTAACACCGGGAGCTGTGAGAGTTACTTACCCAGTAACATCGCTGGTCTGTACTGCCCTATGAGAAGACCATATCGACGGCTTCGATTCACCTGTATTTTGCTACCCGCAGATGTGCTTCCACGAGATACAAAAGTACTTGAGAGATCATTTAAGAAACTTCAATGCTTCGTCTACTGTTCTGTCGTCGGTCTTATTTGACTCAACAAAATATTACCATTCACCAAGAATTAAAATCGACCACTCTCCTGTTTATATGCTCACTGCTGCAAAGGTCGACTTTACACCCCCTATCAATAATCTGACTCACATCTGTAAACCCTCTGCCACAAGATTACGTCCTCACTTAACGTCTGCCTGGCGAGCCCCATTTTCGATTACCAAAAACGAGACAAACGCATGTTAGTCGGCTATGCTCGAACTATAAGCCGCGGTAATCACGTTGATGCTCACCCCCTACCTAAGATGCGCGAAATCGTAGAGCAAAAGTCCCAACACAATGTGCTCATCACGCCAGACCTCCAGACTGTGCACAACCAAGTTCCCATACGCAAGCAAGAAAAGCGCTCACTGACTGCATTCGAAACATGCGGGCAATTATACCAGTTCTGTTCCATTCAGTTCAAAGTAACACATACAGTGGTCCGCACCATCATAAGTGACGAGTCCTTTCAGGATACATACACCCATGTCGACGACGTTACCGTGTGGGGTCATCCATTATAGGTTCGGAGTTTAAAAACAGCATCTGACACGTCCTCAGAACAGTTTTATTTCCGCTATACCACGCATCGATTCATAACATTTACACAATACACCATGTCATTCTGACATTACACGCATGTGATACTCAGTCCATTCTTAACGTTTACTACTTTCTGTTGACGAGGTTCGAACAGTTAGTAATCAGTGTGCAGAACTTAAGCCCCGTCGCATCAAATACTCATTCGACGGGTAAGTAAAAGTGAATCGGCTTTTGAAGGGATCATTGCTGATTTTAGAGACCAACCACCATCTACCTCCCGCAAAAAGTACCTTTTGACAATGGTCGGCGACTATCCTCAATTCCCTTTTGGTTTTTTGTCTAGACACAATCACTAATAAAACTATCAAATGCCTTGTTCAACTGTTTTCCCCATATGGAATGCCCTGACATCCACTCAGACCGCGACGCTGCCTTCATGTCAATTATAGCTGAAATTTCTGCTTCTTAAGGGAGTAGCAATCCATTCAGAAAAGGTCAGGTGGAGAGGCTGAATGGGGAAGTCATAACACTGGCATTGAAATCTCAACAATTAGACACCTCTCAATAGGAATGATTTTCGTTCGCCCTTTGCTGTGCACCGCAACTTGCGTGGCGTCTCATGAACACCTTTGTAATTTCCGTCGTATCTACCAGCAGAACCTCTCTCCCTACCCGACTGTCACACCCGGGGCCCGTTTAGTTGAACAGAAGCGCTCAGCATTCGAGACTTAAATGAATTGTCTCAGTTGTCGTGTATCAGGGACAAACGAATCAACTCAACTTCCCAATCGAAGAATCATCGTCAGAATGTCTGCCTGATTTTTCGCACCATACATTGACTCGATTCAAAGACTCACTATCACTTCAGATTCCCGATCCAGTAGAAAATACTCAACAATTTGTGGAAGCACACAAGCAAATAATTCAGTGCATACGACGTTGATAAGTTCGGATGAAAGTAGAGTTCTCCCGTTACAGTACACTAACATTTCATTTCGCAGGAGAGACTGACATAAACTCGTCCAATGAACGCCTTCCATTCTATTAATTTTTTGTGCTAATGACTTCATCTTATCATTCCAACACGTACTGACATTGTTGGAAGATTGAAGCATCGTTTTGGATCTATCTCATTCCTAGGTCTGCTGCTCAATCATTTGAATTTATTAGGCACTCTCCACACAAGTAATCTATAAACCTAACCTCATATCGTGATATGCAACCTGCAAGGCATGTGACAAATGCATTTTGTAAAATAATCTCGAAAATACAGGGACGTTTATCCATTATCGTAAAAAAGCGCAACAAGGGGAAGAATATCATGTGTACATTAGAAAGTTACCATGAAATATACAGCTGCCGGTTATCGTTGTCTTTCGGCTTTTCGTCGAGGTTCGTTGAATGGAGACTCTTGTTTTATGCGAGGCGCAGAGTTTGTGCTTTCATTTCTAGCCCGTGGTGAACGAACAACAACACGCTCTTGGCGCGGCAGGGACGGAGTAGAACCGCGTCTTCGTCGAGGCGGAGAAGGCGAAAGTTCTCGTCTTCGGCGTGGTGGGGAAGGGGATAGTTGCATTTGGTGGTGAGGGGAGGGTGTCACACCACGTCTTTGTCGGGATGGAGGTGAAAGTCTTTGTCTTCGGCGTGGTGGGGAAGGGGAAAACTGTACTCGGCGATGAGAGGAAGGTGTCACATCATGTCTTCGTCGGGGTGGAGAAAGTAACGGCCCCCGATTTCCATCCGGTGGAGAGAGCATTTGATTGCGCCCCTCTCGAGGTGGGAAACGATTCGGGATTCGTAATCGATGAGGTGAGAAATCCTCCGTTTGTCTTCGCCTTGGAGGGGAGTTGACTGACTCGCACACTGAACGGAATGGTCCAATTTCACTTCCTCTCTTTTCGTGTGGGGATAAATCCGTCGAACCATCTCTGTATTTCCGTGAGGAATCAATCACTGGTCGTGAGGGAGAACCTCTTCTTTTATGTGGTGGAGACCAAGATGGGCTTCGTCGCTTGACTGCGTGACTTGACGGTTGGTCACTATGGGGTTCTCGATCATCCGGCGGACTCCTTTTTCGTTCAGATCGAGTCGGTAGGCGGGGGTGGTCTGGGATTTTGTTTGGGGAGCGATTTGCTTTTTCTCGTTCAGCTTTTTTAGCTAGCTCTTTTTGTTCTTTTTGAACTTTCTTCAGCTGTTCTACTACTTCCGGACCACAGCCGTGTTCACGAACAAACGCAGCCACCGCATCAGGATCCTCTGGCACAGTCGCGTTTTTTTTCGGTTTTCGTTTACTACCACCCACATCTAGAGTACCATCCTTCGGTACCTTGTATTGTTCCACATGGTCCACGCGAATTATTCGTCCAGCTAGTTTGATTCCGTTAAGATTATCTGTCGCCAGAACAGTGCTACGCTGATCCTCGTAGCACAGAAAAGCAAAACCTTTTGACTGGCCAGTTTTTCTGTCTCGGACGAGATTGATATTTACTATTTCACCGTACTGGGAGAAAACACAAATGAGATCACCTTCGGTCAGTTCGTAATTAAGACCACCAACGAAAATCCAAGCAGACTTTTTGTATTGCATATGCCATGAACTAAGTGTGCCGGTATAACCCAACCGTAGCTCACGTTCATTTAAGATATTCTGGTTCTTCGTGTTTGTCAGTGGATTCATTGTTGCAGTGGTCAAATAGAGAGTATAGACAGAACTTTTCCTTCCCTGGAAATTGGGTTCTGCAATGGAATTTACGGAACGTTATCACTAATACTGTTGTGGAATTGCATAAATGGATAATTCAACAGAAAGGAATGTATGGTATAGTAAATGAAAAAGCTCAGTTATTACGGCGGAAGAGGAGGACTTCGCCGTTACTGTTAGGGACTAGAACGGGCAACTGTGACTCTGAGTTATGAACTAACAAGTTGAATGCGGCAGACGACAGCAAACTGCTATTTATCATCAAAAATGACCGATAACAATCAAGTTGAAACTGAATATCTAAAATCTAAATATCTATGATTAAAACTACGACCATTACGTGTCGGAATATTATACTAACTACACTGTAAAAACAAAAAATCCACAGCAGCGGTTTCTGGTTATGTCTGTTTTTCAGAAGAAACTTAAACACTGATGGGTATTTATACGTATCTGGAAAGTTCAGTTTTTCGACTTTCAACTGTATCAGGCCGCATTGTGATGGTGCAATACCTTCAGCGGCGAGCTCTAAACTCGCCCGTCTTGAATACGCTGTGTAGAACTACAGCATTTAAAGTGCGCCTCCAGGAGACCAACCCCGTCCACATGAAAGTCCAAAATCGACTATCAAGTGGACACGGTCCCTCTCGTCTACTTGGTCATTTGCTCAGTACAGGAAAAGTCAATATCCACTTTTAACAGCAAAACCACAGTTTCGAATACACATCTGGGTTACGCTTATTAACTGACTTGTGTCTACTATTACCGCATTACGGTATTTAGGATAGAAAAGATGAGAGTTACAAAGGATAATTCCCAGAACAGGTTAAGCACGTTACGTATGATCACCGGCAGCCATGAACATTCGACCCTCGATAGACAACCGGATGTCATGCCGACACCACAGATGACGGAGGTTGGTAAAAACCAAATGCGCCTTCTGTACTTGTGATGAAAATTCATCCGAAATCTGTCCACCTGGTGACATGCAACTGCCCAGGTGACAAAACTTATCCACTTCAGCTAGAGTGTCGCGGCCAGTGGTGTAGTTGCATTCAGACTATTTCTTGTATTCGTGATTTTCATTCATTACGTTAATCTTTTTGGATCTTTTTTCACTTGACGCTTCGATATTTTTTGCCCTTGACTCGAGAATGGTGGAAGGCAACAACCGAAACCGGAGCACAAAAGTGCGAGACCGGCGGTTCTATAAACTGAAACCGACAGTCACAGACTTCCAAAAAATGAAAACATCTGTGAATGGGTACCTGCAGTTTATGAAACGTGTTTGTTACGTTTCATTCCCAAAAGCGTGTTACCTACCTGCGGACGTCAATGCAGGATTCTAGAAACTAGTTGTCTCAAAACATTCCCTCACCGTTTAGTGCCACTTCAAAACCCCAGGAATCCTAACATGTTTCAAGGCTATAGGTAATATATATATATATATATATATATATATATATATATATATATATATATATATATATATATATATATATAGTGATTTCACATCCGCCTAATATCAGACTGTGCTCAACAAAATATGGTATACCGACGAGTAAAGAGACAGATGGAGTCCAACTTAATGATTTGTTTGTGAGCGCAATACTGCCAGGCTCCTCTTGGCCAAAGCCGGTGATTTTCTTAAGCGTCCACAACCGGAGCCTTGAGCTATCCAAAGCTTAATTAGCAAGGCAGCGAGACGAGGCGCGGGTTCCGTAACCAACTGGGGGCAGGTGACTAACTACTCAGTTCATATGCATTTCGGATGAGGCCAGACATCCTGGGTACCTACTACACCTTCCGCCGCAGATGCCGGTGAGTGTAGTGCTGTGTGCTTCATACGCCGCCTGTGGTTGGTTTGGAATCAGGGTTTATCCAACTCCCCTAGACTGGTTACCAGCCAATCTGGCGGAGAGCACCGGGCGTTCGCCTTCGTCTCGCACTTTAGTGAAAACACCTTGCCACGAGAAGGCAGTGTGCAGGACTTTTTCGTAGAATACTTATGAATGAGTTGGTTATCTGTTTTGTCGCGCAAAGAACTTCGCAGGTTCACGCCTCGTCTCTGCCAGAATGTCCGATAGCGAGCCCACTGAGGGATAGCTATTCATGTGCAAGGACAGGTAACCCAGATACCCCTTGATTCACGACCAACCAGCCTCTGGTATGTGACCCCGGAAACACTGATCGTGTGTTAAAAGAGGCCAATTCAAAATATGAAGCGTCTCGGCCGCTTCTGTTTACAACTGTGTTTCCACTGGGATGAAAAACGCAAAACCACTAATTTAATAATGGAAGGGAAAATGTTAACAATGAAAGAGATTTAACTATGCTCCCGCCAAGCTGGTATAGATAGTAAACTTACTAAATATCGATGAGCTCAAGCATGAAACGGGCCTACTAATAATTTGAAATCTTCCAAATGAAACGGAACTGACAGTGCCTGTCACATAACCGTCAACCCTTCCTTCTGTTTAGCAGCGAACCAACGGGCGATGGTTTAATTAGCTTGCATAAAAATAAAAACCAGTAAACATCTGTAAACACGAAGTACCACTAGCAGAGGACTGCAATGTTGAACACATGGGAAACGGTCACCACAGGGTGTTTGAGTTAATGACATGGTGCACTGCTTAGGAAACTAGCACCACTTCTAAAATTCAACAAAAAGCACGTTACTTAGTTAATTGAGCATACAACAAGCAACCTTTACTATTATCAAAAGTTTTTCTAGTCCCGTTTAAGGATTGATTAGCGCGTCGCACAACGGACAGGTACAGTGCACTAAATGCTATGAAGCCCAACGTCTTTCGGCGATTTCTCGTTTTCAGGAGTAGCTAATAAAACGACTAACTACAATCCTCAAAGCAATGGTCAAGTTGAATGGTACAATAAGAAAAACAGTATCTTCGTACTTCCGTTTGAGAAACCCAGCAATTTACCAGTAGGAGTTAGTGCTACCTGAGGCATTGCATGCTACCAGATTAGTGCTGTGTACTACAATCAATGCGACGATCCCCAAACGTATGTTTATTCACCATCGAAAATCTCCTGCAGGCACCAGTTTATCTTGATGCCTTATACCGCCTGGGCCAGAGCTATATCGAAAGAACATCCGCTCGTCCAAGTGTGATCCCGTAATAGAGGAAGTAGAACAGCCACAGAGCAACCCCGAGTACTTTTACATACGTCTCTCTGATGGACGCGAAGAAATAGTATCACTTTGCCATCGTGCTCCCGTAGAACGAAGGAATTCAGCACCATCTATCACTTTTTCAGGTTCAATTGCAGTCTCTCTTCCGCGTAACAGCATGCCATGTGTCCCAGATTCGCAAGGACCTGTCTTTCATCTGGCAGGACCTCAGTGAACGAGAAACAAACATTGAAAATCTCCTCTTAGAACAACACACAGTGAGAACCTATCGTCTTTGAAACCGTGAGGGGTAACAACGCAGTGTTAACATTCGCTACCCCCCCCCCCCCCTTACAGACTACGCGAAACAACCTACGCCAATATTTGTTTTCTAAGTGATAGTGAATACCAAACCCTTACTAGTGCCTGTCTCATAATCCGCTCCCATTTCGCCTGCATACCCTAACATTTTGCATGTCTCGTTTTCGCTCGTATGCTTCGTCTTTGACTGAGTAAAGTCTTCGAATCAGACTTGTCTTCCGACTTCTTATTCTTTTATTCGTTTACACTTTTGCGTCACAGTGAAACTGCCATTTAAGTGCAAGAAACTCTTACAATAACGGATTGTAGACGATTGACACAATAAGTTTGCCAAAAAAGTTGATATCCGTATTAGTATGTATTCCAAAAATGGACAATGTATTCTGAAGTTATATAGAAAAGCCAATTGTAGACTACGGTTTTCTATGGAAGAAGAGTGACCGTTGTAAAGTATTATGAACCCTATCTAAGGAGTCAGATACATTTGCAAATAAGGATGTTCCCTATCAATGGAACGACTTTATAATGATAGTGAGTACCACCACTTAGCTTTGCCGTGTATATTCCACGGTGTAATGGCAATTTGAATGTTGGATATCACGTTATTCATCTGAATGCATAGTTTTGTTTACCGAGCATATAGCACAATAGCCGCCATGCTTCACGACTATTGTCAAAAAAACAACATTGAGCACACGTTCTCGCCGTCATACCACCCACAATCCAATGGCCAGGCTGAACAGTTCGTGGACACCTTTAAGAGAGGACTATTCAAATCGCGGGGGAGGGAACATCAGATGAAATCCTACAGCAATTCCAGTTCGTGTATAACACAACGTCAAATGCCTCTACATCTCAGGGACTATCTCCGGAAGATGTTCTAATGGGTCGAAAACTAAAGGCCACTCACAACGCCCTGTTTCCGACAAGACCTCAACAAATTACAGTGCAGAACAAAGGATTTGCCGTGGGCTCAGCTGTGTATGCAAGAGAGCACTGATCTACAAAACCAATGTGGGCCGCAGGAGTGATCAGGCATCGGCGTGGAACCAAACTATAGGAAGTATCCGTTGATGACGATATATGGGTCAGACAACAGAACCAACTTCGCAGCTGCCATGAATATACCCCAGAATCGACCGCACGAACAATACATTTCATTGGAAATCCTACTGGATACCTTCAAACTACCCACACCACAGCCACCAACGACAACCCCGGAAACCGACTTGCTACCAAGGCGATGGTCAGACCGATCAAGAAGACAAACCCGACAGTTTCAAACGGACCAACACGGACCAAGCTACAGATAACTACCAAAAAGGGGAGGTGTTACGATGTTAAAACGAACGAGAAAACATTCTTTAGACAAACCAATAATCAACTCAAGCGTGTCGGGCCGGATTGAACAATCAATAATCAATAAAGTATCGGATGACTCATGACGTAACCCTTTTTGCTAATCGAGCATCCATCTACAGTCCGACGCAAATTGAGCCAACGGATCAACAGTCGATTC